ATGGTTTAAGTTCGCTGCAATGTGTTGAAGGTATCCTCAAGACTAATGCTTTGCTACTGCGTCGGGCGTACAGAGCTTGAAAGACAGCCTGCGATGTAAGGGGGAAGCTGAAACTGGCTAGTACTCGGAAGTTTTCCCCAAGTAACATAATGGGAATAAAGTGAGTTACTTCTACTGTCCTGTTCTAGGCTTGTAAGTTTTGCCACTTTTCCATAATGCGTACGAGTACCTGAGTGTTTCTATAAATGCTCAGATAGCTTGCATCCGATGTTTGGTTTTGACTGAAACACCTGTAGGCAGTTCCTCCAGGAGGAGATACTGTGTGTCAATGTCCATGGGCAGTAGTTCTCTGTTGTCTGAAAAAAAAAAAATGATGCCAAAACATCCTTCGTCCTGGCCGGTCAGTAACTCCTGACACAGTGGTGCTGCCCTGCGTATTGGGAGAGGGAATGGACAGCTGGAGTGGCGATTTCTGCCAGAGGAGCTTCTCGGGGCAGGCAGTACCTGTGCTACCTGGGATTTTTAGCTTATCTCAGCCTTGTATTTCTTTGGGATCATAACACCTGCCCTGCAGCTAGTTCAATGAGCACGCCTGGAAGTGTCGTGGGGATGGGTGTGCTGAAATGCTGCATCCCGTGCTGCCGAGACTGCCGCTTCTGTGCCCTGTCCAGCTTGCCGAATGCGTGTTTCAGGGCTCCTGGCTCTGTCACCTGTGCTATTGTCCGGGCTGGGTGGGTGCGTCCACATAACCCTGCAGCGTGGGTGACTGGTTTTCAAGAACAGGCACACAGGAGTCAGTTTTTATGGGACGATGCCAAGTTGGCAGCTTAGCCATCACTCAGAGCACCCTGCCTGCAAGATAGCTGTGTCCTAGTTCTGTGTGGTTGTATACAGGACATATAAAAGAGCAGAATGGGCTTTGTCTGGTTCCAGGTGCCCTGTGATACAGAGGAGGAGCTGGCAGGAGCTGGACATACAGGTGTTTTCAGATTTCCTTTATCATGGAAGAATCTTCACGGTCCATGTAGTTACCCTGCAGTAGCTGTCTGTCCCCCTCCACTCCCTGGGTCACTGTATGGACAAATGTGAAGTTGGGGAAGCTCAGTTTGCCCTGTATAAAACTTAGTGAATTGTTTCTTTGAACGGAACAAAGCCTCAAGCTTGCTTTTGTAGGAAAACAGCCCAGAATAGCTATTCCCTACTGCCTGGAAAACACAATTTACCCTGACAAAAAGCGTAGTCAAAGATGAGCTGCCACCTGCTGGCTCCGTAGGCTTCGGGCTAGGGAATGTCTGCTGGTTCCCTGGGCAGGAGAACCTGGTTTGTGCACCCTACCCCAGGCTGGAGATTTGGAAGGCTCGGGTAGGTTTTGGAGAGCTTTCTGCTGAGCAGCATTAGACTGTTCAGCAAAGTTATTGTAAGGCATTGCAAAAACATCCGAAGGAACCTGCTGTGTTTATGGTAATATTTATATTTACTCATTTTTCTCCTAGCTTTGGTAAATAAAGATAGCTCTTTCAAGTGCAGCACATTCTTCATAAACAGTTCTGTATAATCTTGCATACTGGAAAAAAAAATTGTTGCCATCATAGGGGTTCCCTGGGGAAATGCTCAGGTTTGGCTCCTCCAAGCAGCTGGCATGGTCTGGGGCCCTGACTGGTGCAGGAATGCTGACAGACCGGTGGACCCCCCCTGTTCCAGACCCCCCCTGCTCTGGGTCAGGTTCACCCAGAGGCTGGGTGGAAGGGGGCTCTGAAGGAACAAATGAGATTAAAGTGAACTCTGCGAATGTGCTGGCCAAAACCAGCTCGGTTTGTTTTTCATGATGTCACTTCTATTTTAAAATCCAAGTTACGGAAACCATTTACAGTGGACTTTTAACAAGACTGTAGTTTCCTGTGGGCAAGATACTTCTAAAGAGTTACTCCTGTTAGGGTCCCAAGAAATTGTGTTCTTAAGTATAACAGAAATGTCGGGGGGAGGGGGGGTGTGAATTTTTGGAAGAAAATTGGAAGCTAGCTATTTTTAGAATCTTTTGGTTTTTAAAAATATAATTTCAGAGAGGAGAAAACAAAAATATTTTAACTTGTAGGTAAGAGGTGTGTGAAAGTTGTTTGACAGTCTTTCAGGGGATGATTCAGGTAATTATAAAAAGGCCTGAAGTAAAGCTACTGCTGTCTTCTAATTTCTTTAGTTGTTCATTGATTCCTCAGGTGAAGGAATAATGGCAAGATTTTTGTCTCTGTGATGTCCAGCAGAATACCTTAATTTCTGATTTTTCAACTTCTTTTCTGCTTAACAAACAGAGAATTGAAATTTGATTGATTGGAAGTGATGGCTTTGTTTCCATTTCCCTAAATGTTTCTTATGTGACTGTGAACTTGCTAGAGTGAAGAACTTACTTTACCTTATAGTTACATACCTGAAAAAATAATACTAGCGCTTTTGACTTTTAACATATATAATGTTTTCATGGTAAAGCTAAGAAGGATACTTAGAAGAAAACTAGCTCTGCTCATCAAAAAAGTGCAAAGTATTTGCAAAGCCAAAATTGATGCTTACAGTTTTGCCTACAGTTTTGCAGTAAGATGTGCCACAAATATTCACAGTCTAAATAACTGCCCCTTCTAAAAACTTGTGATTTATTACACATGTATCTTTCTCTGTGCTGCACTGCTACAGTGAGTGGTGGAAAGCAAAGAGAGTACCAAATGTGTTTAATGGAAGGTGAAGGGGCTTGTTTGATTAGATTAGGGCTTCAGCTGGCCTTTATGCCCTTTTTACGCAATGAGAATTCCTGACACCATGTTTTAAAACCTGATTTTTAACATTATATACAAGTGTCGTATGTGCTGTGGTTTCTTTGTAGGGAATGTTTCTGAATGTCATTGCCGAGCAATCTCTGTGTAGTACAGATATGCTAATCAGTGCTACCATCGTAACTTTTTAAAGGTGTCTCATGTTAAATATGCTTTCATCTTTTAAAAAACTTTTGATGGATAGGTATTAGAAAACATGTCCGAAACTCTTTAAATTTAAATTTGCCAGGCCACATGTGATTCTATTCCTCTTGTTGAAGTGAAGACTCAGTTACAGAAGTAGTGAGTTTTTTGCTCTCCTGCTTTATTTTTCACTTTTTTTGTGTGTGTGAACACTAGCTCAGGATTTGAAATGGCTACTTTGATCGTATTACAGAAACAAGTGAGACTAAGGGCTATGACCTGAACATTAATTAGTGTATTATAAAGGATGAGTAGTTTTCCAATGTCAAACATACCAATGCAGTAAATAAAAGGTAATTAATTCTGGGTGACAGCATTTTGCAGCGATTCACAGAGAGGAAATGCAGCCTATGTGAATGTAATGCATGGTTATGCAGTGCTACTCCCTGTCAGAGTAAGGGGAGCATTATTCTGCAGTACGCTAACTATTCTGCTCCTTTTAATTACCTATTAAAACTACATCTTTTAATATTTCAATGCAAATGGACATGCAGAACTGTGGTAATTAGCAGCATGTTGATGTAGGACTCAGATGGTGCAGCCTGGTCACAAACAGTGCTGTGTAATCAGCTGCAGGAAATGTTTTTCTCTTATGATAGTGTGTAATGGCTTAAACTGTAAGGAAGGGCAAAACATTGAGGCTTTAGGAATGAGAAGTTTGCATGCAGATTGTGTGGCATCTGCTGCAGCTATCAGCTAATTGTCCTTCAGCTGTTACACACCTGGAGAAACAAATACCACGAGACTATAAAAACTGTAGGAGGTGGCATGCGAGACCATAGAGACGCTCCTTTAGTTACTGCTGGAACATGGCTTTGAAAAACATAGGCGTGCTACCCTCTGTATTTTCTGCAGCCATTACACTCTGATGTTCTCAGCTCTGTGGCCTCTTGCAAAAAGTCCAGGCTCTTCCAACATGATTGGTTTTAGTTCAGAGGAAGCCAGACACTGTTCTTTTGATGTAATTTACCATGAAATTGAGAATTCCTCCTTGTTATGTTTGAGAGAACTTTACCTAAGTTCAGCTTTGGAATTATGTCCTATCAGTGTCAACTGTGGCTTACAAGTAAGCTCTAGTGTTTGTATCAGTAATACTTTTTGAAAACGGATATCCTGAAAATAGCTGTAAATATATTCCTCATTCAGGTGTGGATGTTGGTAGGAACTGAAAATCTACCATTCTTGCAAAGGCAATTGTTAAAACCAGCTTTACTTCCCACATAAACTTGACTGAATGGTGTGGATGAACCTTTATGTGCTCATGCCTCTTCAGTGTCCCTGAATTAAAATATCACCGTATGTAACTGACAGCCAGGGAGACCTTTCTTGATGTAAACAACTGAGGTGAAGGAATCCTGTAAGCAGGATTCCATGGTATAGTTTGTATATAAGACCCTTGTTTTCCTTTTACTTAAGAGGCAATAACTTTAAATTGACCTGTTTTTGAAATACAGTGTAACTGCAGGTTTGAAGTAATGCAGTTAGCTTATGTGATGTGAGCATCTGACCTGGAATGTGGGCTATTGGAGAGCAAATAACGTTTGCTGTATGTCTGATCTGTGTTGAATATTTCTATAGAGCCGAGAAAAGGGTTAGGGAGGCTAATGAGCCTAAATGTACAGATGTAGCTTTTGCTCCCCAGATACATTACGGATACTCTTGCTCACTTACAGAGAGTCATTCAAGTTACCTTTTATGTGTGCGCTCTCAACTTGAAGCAAGAATGTAGCTGAAGAAAAGGAGAATCCCAGAACTTCTTACAGAAAAATGAGAGAAACCAACTTGTCTGCTTCAACGCTGTCATGATCAACTGTTTTTTCCAAGCCAAATGCTCAAAAATTGTGACTGTTAGAAAAAAGGTTCCCTGTGCTTTCCTTGTCCGTGAGAAATACTGTATAGACTGTACATCTTTTGAAGGACCCCAATTTCCTCTAAGTATAATATTTAGTGAGCAGTTATATGGTCTGTTCTGTATTTCTAATTTTTTTTTTCGTAGTAGGATTGACTGGAGTGCTGCTACTTAGGAGCTGTATTTCCTAAGCCTTTCATCAAGGTATTTTAATTTTCCTCGGACAGAACAGAATGTTACTTCAATGGTAGTGCTATAATTAACTGGGAGGCAAACTTCCTTTGTTCCCTCTGTAGTAATACACTGGGATATGAGTCAGTAGTAACCAATTTGCTTGTTTGTAGTGCAGTTCTTTACTGCCCTGGAACAGTAGCAGCAACAACAGATGTAAAGCATCTTAACTCTTCTTTTGCCTGCAGTATCTGTAAAAACCAGTGGTGTTAAGCTGGACTCATAAATACTAGGTATAGTTGGTATCTCCTCTCTCCTACCCCACAGCCTGCCCTGCTGCGTGGGAATTATGGCCTTGGAGTTCTTGTCGAGAAAACTGGGTGCTGGCATTCATCTGAAAATATATATAGCTTATGGAAATATATATAGCTGATGGAAAAGGGCATGGTGGGATGGGATTCTTGTCAGTGAAGAAGCAAGGTGTAGACAGCTTCCAAGCACTCCTTGTCTGCTGTATAATAACAGATAGATATGAATACTGGATGAAAAAGCTTTCCTTTCAGAGATGTATTTGGAGGTTGAAGATGCTTTGTAGTTGGGATGTTTACCTTAATTATGGTTATTTCTTTTAAAAACTTTTTTAATAGATCTGGTTAAGAATAAAACTTGGATTTTGAAGTGTTTGAGCAACTTGCTACTGCCCAAGTCATGACACTCCCATTTCGAAAGGACTTGGACAAGTACAAAGATCTTGATGAGGATGAAATTCTTGGCAAACTTTCGGAAGAAGAACTGAAACAACTGGAAACTGTTTTGGATGATCTTGACCCTGAGGTGGGTATTAACCAAGAGAAGTTTGATTTTATTTTTTTTTTATTTGTTCAGAAACTAGTCTAAAATAAATTGAGACTTTTTTTTACTTGAACAATATACTTTTGGACAGAGGGGGTTTTTTTCCTAGTCTGCTAATGATCTTATTGACAGATACATATGCGTATATAATGTTTCAACTGTTTATTTCCTGTTTGCAAGGTGAATGCAACTCCAATAGAGGAAAATGGAAGAAGGGATTGTCAGGAGGAGCTTTCTGGGATTTATTTATAAATAAAAATTGCTCGTAGTCATGTTCTTGAAAAGAAATTTTATTTAGAAGAGCCTGTTTAACTTTCCTGTTTCCAGTGTTGTCTGGTGAACAGTCCTTTTGCATCCTTTTTATTTTTTTGCTTCTGCTGTTGGAGTTTGATGGGAGAGGGAGGGTGCTAACCTCTTCTAAAGATTCCTGGCCCTGTACCTAATGGCCTATATCTATTCCTGTCCTTGTGCCGACTTTGCAAAGAGGAGGCAAATAATTACTCAGCTCCTGAATGATTATGTCGGCATGGGGTATTGAATGAGAAATATTTTAGCTTTCTGTTAGAAAGAGCTGAGTTATGTCTTCCACTAATGCGGCAGCTAATGTCAGAATCCAAGACTGGTGTTTTCACCTCCTGATTCTCTGTTCTTGCTTTAATAGTACCAGGATTAAGTTTAATCTTGATGTTCAGGGATCACTTAATAATATTATCATCACCTACTTTGTTGCACAGCAAGATATTCTTGGTATTTTAATTGGCTTTGGCTTTATAGACATTTTAACAGAGGAGAACTGGCAAAAATGATTGGTTGTCTTTTATGACAGTCTGAATTTTTATATGTTCTGTTCTTTCCATACTAATATCCTCTGGTTTGGGTTTTTTTTTTTATTTAGCTGAAATATGTTGGTGATAGCAAAAAGCCACCCTACCTTGAGTCAGGTCAAAAGTAGAAATACTCTGTGTTAAATGCCAGACAATAGTATAGGCAGTTGTCTTAAAGACTTAGAAACACATTGATGTAAGCAATGGAGGAAGCAGCCTCTTGCTGAATGTCTAAACTGTAAATAGCTGAGTTTTATTTACTACTACTAATTTAAAGTGTTCATTCTAGAAAAGAAATGCAAAGTAACTAGCAAGTCTAGTGGTGGGGGCTATTGTACTGAAAGAATTGCTTCAGCCCTATTCAGAGTGCAGTGTGCTCTATTTTTAATTATATTCTTGGTATCTAAAAAATAGGTTACCTTGTCTCCTCCCCTGTCCCAAAAAAGGGAAGCTGGCAAGGGATCAAAGATTGCCTAAAAAGGATGATGTATTGGGTTTGAACCTTGGTGAGAGAGAGAAGGAAGAGGGAAATTAAACTAAACAGGTGTTCACTCAGACTTCCTAAGCTGTACTTGTTTGTTCCATTTTGTTTTGCAGAACGCACTTCTCCCTGCAGGCTTCCGACAGAAAGACCAGACTGCTAAAAAGGCTTCAGGTCCCTTCGACAGGGAACGACTCCTGGCATATTTAGAGAAGCAGGCTCTTGAGCACAAAGACAGGGAAGACTATGTGCCTTTTACAAGAGAAAAGAAAGGTAACACCACCCTTTCTGGTGTAGGTGGTTGTGAAATCTCTGAAGTGGCCTAGCCAGAACTACTGTGAACCAAAGTTTATTGAAGCACCGGAATGCTTTTTAACTTGCGGCATTTCCAAATGAGTGCTACTGTGCAGAGGTGGGATGCTTCCTGTTCAAGTGTTTTGTGGTGCTGGGGCTGTTCTGCTGTTTGCATGTAGTACAGGAAGGATATAAGACTCAGATTTTTATCAAAGATTGCAAAGTTCTGATGGGTATGGTATCCTCAAAATAAGAGCTACCCCTGATTTGTGTCAATAATAACAAACGCTGTTGTGCCTGTGGCTTACGCCCTGTGGTGCTGAGTACAGACAGTAACATTTGTTAATACTACCCTGAATTTAAAAAATAGCAGCAGAATGATGTCGTGGTAGATGATAATGTTAAAAGATGTTGTAGCTGACAAGGCCAAGCAAGTGGTGTATGTAATCATGTTGTCTTTCTAGTATCCTTACTGAGAGGTTTAATAAGATTGCATAGTTATTGTTACCTAATTGCATAGTTAACTGTCACAAGAAGCTCTGAAATCTGGCAGTGGTTTGTGGTCTAAAAACCATGGAAACATTGATCCAATGAGTGGACACATTATTAAAGCCTGGGATTTCAAATCTTTGTTTTGGATCTAGTCTTGTTGACTTGGTGGGAAGCATTTTCCTTTCCAGGAAAAAGATTTAAAAAGAATGTGCATCTTAAATATTGTAAGAATAGATTCCCGTCCCATCTGCCCCCCCAAAACAAGAGCTCCCAAATTTGTTGTGCCTTACTAACCACTATTGGTAGGGACAGAAACTCCCAGTCCTGTACTGGAAACATATGCACAGGAGGTGGCTTTTAGCTGTCGCCACAGTGTTTGTGTACTGCTTGTGAATCCTAGCTTGTCTGAACCTTCCCCAGCAGCAGGGCAGATCTGCTGCAGTAAGACTTCAGTAAATTGTTTGGTAAGTTGTATTCCAACTGCCCAAGATGAACAGGCTTCTCTTTTCTTAAGGGTTTGAAACCCTTTAATTCTACTTAATTATCTGGTGTGAATCATTGCTTATTTCAGACTTGAGTCTTCATTCCTCTACTGAGTTTGTATATATGATTGTGGTGTATATTTGGTGAAAATTTTCTTGGGGATATTGGCATTTTCCCTTGAAGTAATAGAGAGATTGTGACTTTATAAAGTGCCGCACTGTATATGATGTATTACTTCCTTAATACACAATGTTTTGCCTTACTTGTGTAGTTTAATGCCACTTTTACTGATACAACTGTGACACTCCTTTGCTGACGGGAGAACGGGAGTTTGCTGACTGAATCTGTAAGAGTAACCGAGTTAAGGATAACACAATGTATTGACTGTCGAAGGCAGTCAAAGGTACCTACAGCAGCAGTACTCTGCTGCTGGCAAGTACCTGTTGATCCCATGTTTGCTTCTGTAGTGTCCCACTGCTTCCTCCCCTGTTCTGCTTCTTGCCTGACATACTTGCTAGTATATGTTGGAGACAGCCTAATGGTTTAACATGATTGAGTTCAAGTATATTTGGGCCTCATAGCTCGTTTGGGAGTCCCTTGCAGCCTGGCTAGCTTGTACACTGCTCCTTCAGGCTGGGCCTGGAGGATTTGCTGTAGTTAGTACTTCTTTTTCCTCTGAGTACTAGTGCTTCATTCATTCATTTAAAGTCAGCTTACGTATACGTGTACACGGCAAAACTATTTGTTTGGGTAGACAAAAATCTGTGAGAATCATGTAGAAAAACAGAAGGGTCCAGCTGTAATGCAGATCTTGGTTAAGAAAGATCAAATGTCATTTCCTTTATGTAATAAAGTATTACTAAATAGCAGTCTGTCTGGATGTTGCAATATGTCATACCAGTTTAATTAGTAAAATTTCCTGTATCTCTTAAAAAAAAAAGTTGATATTTAATAACTTTTTCTACCATTTATTTTAGTACCATAGAAGAGAAAATAATATGAAAAAATGAAATGTAGCTTACTTTCATTGAAACTAAAAATGTGGAAACAAATGTTCAGTATGGAAATTCTTGCTCTGTTAAATGGAAAGGAGGAGGAGGCAAGAAGGCTAAGCTCATTTTGGAGTAGGTGAGGGATAACCTTTTCCTCATGAAAGTGTTATGGTTCAGCTTTGACTTGCTGCCATGTTTGTAGCCGTTTTGCACAAAAATGGCAAACCTATGTAACTTAATCTTTTAAATCAAGAAATCATGATCTTTATCCAGATGTAAAGCTTGGAAAGGGAGTGGAGCCAAACTTAATACTTGTGTAAGATGTTTTTAATCTAGAGGGAGCTCTTATCCTAATGTGCTTTTCTTTAATATTAAAAAACCAAACAAACAACTAAGCTGGCTTACAATTTTTCTCTTTGGCTAGGTAAATGTATTGTGGAGAAACGCTAACAAATTGTAGAATAGGAGTAGGTGAAAATCTTGCTTGATTATGCTGTTAATTCAGAAGAAAACTGATAATCATAACCTTCAGATCTAGAGGTTTTGTGGGGAAACAGATTGGAGTTGCAGCTATTGGTGCCATTTTTGTGGGTCAGGCTTTACTAAAATATTTCGGTGTGCCTAGCTGGTCTCATTGCTCCAACTTGGTCCAATTATTCATTTCATGGAGTAAGAAGGGGAAAATCTATCCTTCTCTTTCTCTTTTCTTTTCCTGTTTTAGTAGAACTGATGTCCTGCGTGGTGATTTGGCATGCAGGTTTACCAAAGCTTACCCTGCATTAATTTTAAACTTCCTGGCTTGCTACTGCTTCTGGTAACCTTGTTTCCCTACTACAGTGTAAAGGAAAATCTTCTCTTCCAGTTGTCCCAAGTACCTCATTTGGGGGTAACCTGTTATTAAAACAATGTTGCATTTGTTTTGCTGATAGGTGATGTGATTTCTCCAAATCTTTGGAACTTTTTTGTGCTGTGTGCTATTAAATGTGGAAGATCTGAAATAGTGTCCTGATGTAGTAAGATGAACAGTGCTAAAGAAATGTAAAGCTTGACAATCCCTAAATTATATTCTATTGCATTTTTCCACTGCCTGATTTTGTTTCTAAAAGCATCCTTAAGAACATACTTTGTTTTTAAATGTGATTTAATGACTTAAGTCACATTCTGTTCCAATTAAGTGTTGAACTATACAGTAAACCATTGTTCAAGAGATTCATGAGAGCAATGTGGTAAAAATTTCAACAAAACTAGCTTTGTCTCAATCTGTGTACGTAAGTATGTCATAAAGGTTTTATAAGGCATACTGCAAGGAGAAGGAGCTCTCATCTAAACAAGCGAGGCTTCAGCACTAGTCTGTTGCCCTCGAGTGTGTTCCACACATCTGACCAAGTCCTCACTTCTCTTGGAACAGCAAAAGATGAGAATAATTGCACCTGAGATAAACATATCTAACATCAGTGATGTACTTTGTGCTGTATAGTGCAAGGCATTAGCAAATTATTATGTAAACTAAGCTTTGCATTTCTAGCCTTTGCACTTCTCTAATCATGGCTTGCTCTCCCTCTTCATTCCTGCCAGCGTATGTTTGTTCTGTGTAGATTTGCATTTCATGTAACTTATGCTTAAATGTTGGTTTGGTGGCATTTTTTTCCAGCTCTATCACCCAGAAAATATTGTTAGGCTGAAACTGTAGTTGCCACCCTGCTCAGTTGTTGCTCTGGATCACCACTTGCTTCTGTTGCAGCAGGATTTGGGGTGCTGTGTTCTCTCTTCGCCTTTCAATCACTGGTCTTTAAAGGAAGTGTGTTACATGTTGTAAAATGAAACTAATATCCTTTAGGAGCTTTGGAGAAACAACATGTCAAATTGACATTGTCCATACAAGATCACTAGAACAAAATAACATGTGATACTCTAGCCTTAATGTAAAACAGTTTTCTAACTTACTGCTATGTGTCCTGTAATCAGATAATGAATAACAGTACTGTTTCTACAGTAAGACACTGAGGAAGTCCCTTGTAAGTTGAATTAATAAAAATAGTATTAAATTGTGCTTACAAGTGAATTGATGAACCTAAGTCTGTCACATGGTAAGAACTGGTGATTGAATTGTGGATTATATAAATTCCTGTATTGATAAAACTTTAAGGAACATAAGATGTAAGGAATATATCAGATGTTGCTTGCTCTTCTTCATGAGGTCACTGATGAGATGAGCTTGTATTTGGTTGTCCTCAGGTGACACTTGATTCCTTTTCTGCAAACAGGTACTGCAAAGTGGATTTTAGACTTTCTTCTGATCTGCAAGTTGTGGCCGCTTGCTGCCTGCTAGCATGGGGGTAGGACTGCGGGATATGTGAGAATAGTACCAGCAGTATGCAGTGCAATGGCCACACTGAACAGACCTGATTTCCTCAAGATTTTCAGTCCCACCTTAGATACTGTGAGTCTGTGTATGAAATGTCTAGGGCACTTCAACAGACATCATCCAACGTTTCTGCCTTTTGAGCGATATGATTGTGTGGAACTTTCAGTTTAAAGTTCATTCTGTAGCAAAGAAAGCCTGTGAATTAATTCTGACATGTGCTTCATTTAATATGTTAGCTAAAGGCATAGGAGACCTGAATGCATCATTATTACAGAAATGATGTGAACATCTCTGAAATTTGCCTCTTCATATTGTATTGCTTAATCTTTGCAGTATCCTTGTTGGCTGAAAAGGAGGATGTCGTGTTCCTTCATGTGATCAAATCCTTGCTATTTGGAAATGTTCCACTTGAGGGCCGAGAAAGCTGTTCATCTCACGGGCTGCACAGATGTGTAGTTTTTTGGTTTTTGTTTTTTTGTTTGTTTGTTTAAAGCTTACTAAGGGGGGGAAAGGAATTGCCAAACTGTTGGCAGCAGGCCTTGAATTAGATCATTGTCCCCAGAGACACAGGGTCTTTGCCTTTTTGAAGTAAGTTCGTTACTAGGAGTGGGAAAGGACCTGCTTTTGCGTGTGCATTGTAAACTTCTGAACTCTGGGCTAGGATGAGATGAAGCCAATGAATGAGAGATTATATACACAAGGGTGTGACCTGTTTTATAACAAAACCTGCTCCTGACCCAGTTCATGTGACTGGAGTTGGCTGCAATGAACACTTCTGGAGGGGAGCGGCTTTTAACATTTTTGCTTTAATAAAAACTGAATATACTTCTCTCTCTAGGTTATCTTAAGAGTCAGGCAAATGTTTAGAACCAGAAGTTCCTTACCTATGAATTTAAGAATTACTTAAAGTAACATTAGGAAAAGTAGTTCTTTTTTGTGAGTACTGTGTGATGAACCAGATGGGAGGCTGATCTAGGTTGAAATACATCTTTACAAAGTTGCTTTTAATTGAGATCAGTTTCCTTCTCCCGCTCATTGCCTGCTGCAGTGATGCTGCAAATAGGATGACATGAACAAAGGCTCAGGTGCTCAAATCATGCTTTCCTTCTCTTGTCCTTCCTCGTACTCTGAAATGCTCATTTTTTTACTAGTCTGTATTACTGAGGGAAAACAATGTAAAGATAGCTAATGAAGGGCTTTAGATCGTGTGTATGCTGTTCAGAGCATTTTATGTGTTAGTGAAAACCTTGTCAAACATTCTCATCTCTCTTCTGAAAATTACAATTTAAGTTGAAAGTTATTCTCTCCCCAGTAGGTGATGCTGGTGAAATAAAATGGGAGCAGAAATGTACTGTATCAGTTATATCAAAATAATCCTAAACATTTACTAAGCCTTCAATTTATGAAGGTTTTCTTTTAATCCTGAATCGCCACAAACATAGCTTCTTTTGCACTGTCCATCAAACGTGAGGTATGGCTAGTAATGCATGTCAGCTGCTTTCAGCTACTGTTTGTAGTCAGTACAGTTACGTAAGGAGATTTATTTTTTGCTTCTAAATATGGATAATGACCATTTATACAACTTTCCAAAGAGATAGCAACCCAGGAACAAAAATACTGTGTTGCTAGCAACAGATCTTGGTCATCAGACTGTGTCGTCAGAGAAAAACCTGATACACTTCTTTGTAATCTGTGCTAGTGGTAATGCATTGAATTCCTTTAAAAAGAAAATGAACCACAAACTATTGTAATGTGGGGTGGGAATTTGGAGAGAGAGAAAAGGTGGATGGGTTTTGTTATGCCTGTGTCTGCTGTGGGACACAGGAGCTGACTTCAGGCACTGCTTCCCACAAGTGGTGAAACCAAAATCCCGCTTTGTTGGAATTTCCCAGAAATGAAACTGAAACATCCCTATAAAGCTTCTTGTCACTGGGAGGTATTTAAAAATGCTAAACTTAGTCTTAGTCCAAACATGTAGCAAGATACACTTGTATGCAGTATGAGGAAAAAAAATTAGGCTCCTGACTTCTGCCCAGCTAGTCTGATTCTGGTGCATGGTGGGGTTTCCTTGTGTAATTGGGATGAGCTAGGGTGGTAAGCGTGTGGAAATGCTTTTTAGCTATGAATATGGAAGAGGGTGGGTTCCTGGATTAGCACTGACACTTCATAGGAAGATTATCAACACCACCTCCTACCCTGGGAAATAACTAAAGGAAGTTGGAACCCCTTTCCCACAGCTCTGCTGATAGCTCAGGCAACTTGGAAAGTCTGAAAAACTTTGAATAACTGTTAAGATGACATTCACAGTCTTCTAGTTGTGAATTACTTCTATCAAATGCATCGGGTTTGTTCTGTCACACAGTACCAGAGCTTTTATTTACCATGCTAATTTGTCCTGAACCTAAGCACCCCTTACCTCTCCTGGGTTCTTACCTAGTGGTAGACTTCTTTGTTCTGAAAGGCCAATTCTAAATCATTCAGATCTGAACTGTTTTCAGAATAACTGTTAGAATAGCTTTCTCATATTCTGATTTCAGCTGAAGATATATGCAGGAATTATGCCAAGTACCCAGACCTCTATTTATAACACATCTCCTGAAGTAACTTTTCCCATTACCTGTCAGTAATGACTAAAAAGTTGGTGCAGAATGTGATATTACTACTCTTTCTTTTCCCACTCAATCTTCTGTGAGCTTTCTAAGCATCATTTTAGAAAATAGTGTCATTGGCAGAGAAGTCTATTATCTTGGTTTGTGCTGTTCACAAACCATGGTTTTCTCAAGCAGCTCAGGTATCTCCTTTTTTTACTTCAAAATTGAGTTAACATCTGAAATCAGAAATATCGTGTATCCTGTAAAAGTGCAGTGAATTAGTCAGGTCCATGATTTCAGATGATTCTTTGATATTCTATTTCTCTGACACATTCAGATTACAGTTCTGCCTGGGTCCCTTTCTCCCTTGAGAGGCTACTGGTCATTGTTCTCTAGCAATACTAAATTTTCCTTACAGGCACTTTTTCTAGGCTGTTTAAAATGTATAATGGAGGCTTATATTTTACTTTCTAATCCTTAGGAGAAACAACTAAGATTGGAGTCACGATACAGACTCCTGAAAATTTGGAATAAGTAATGTTATATTCCTGTTTATGCTCTTTCCTCATCTCTGACTTTCAAGAACAAACAGAAGACACCTCATTCCTTTATGTTGTCCTTGGTGCTCTTCTTAGGATTTACTAAATGTAACATGTATTCCTTAAGTACAGAAAAGTTTAATGATAAGTAGCTATATAATACAAAGTAACATCAGACTTTTCATTTTCTTTACGCCAGGGAAAATATTTATCCCCAAGCAAAAGCCTGTACAGTCTTACACAGAAGAAAAATTCTCTCTTGATCCAGAACTGGAGGAAGCCTTGACCAGTGCCACAGACACAGAATTAGGTGACCTTGCAGGTTAGTTTGTTTGTTTGTTTTTTTTAAGTATGAAGGGGCTGGTGCGTATTTGGACAAAAATGATCTATAATTAATGTGGTAGTGTATTTGTTATCTGAAATGTGAACTATAGGAAGTTGTAGCTGTGATAGAAACTAGATCACGTTATATGCCAGTTCGCTTGCAGCGTATCAACTTTGTTGATTTGTAATAATTTATAGGAAGGTAGATTATTTTGGCCTGCCAAAGGGATCTGATTTTCAAACTCAAAACCTTTACATTCATGCCTCAGACTGGCCGGGTTTTGTTGTGTACATTATTGCTTTTTCTTGTGTATAAGAATGTGTTGCTATGTGCCTGTATTCCTAAAGCTTCAGTCAAGAATTTTGTGACTGAACTGCACTTTTAAATTTGCTTGAACCTGGTGAGGTCAAATCTTTCTAAGATGTGAAAGCCAACTAAAGTCTATAATTAATTAAAAAAATTTTCTACTTTTCTTTAAATTATTAAGAGATTGAATGGCTTATTGTACTGATAACTGCATGTTTTACGAATATCAGTTGTTACTATTTAAAGGAACCTGCATCTGTGCTGAATTAGTCAGGAACAGTAAAATTGTTTTTTTTGCTTTTTCTTTTTTTTTTCCTTACAGCTATACTGGGAATGTCCAACTTGATAACAAACAATCAGTTCTGTGATGTAGTAGGAAGCAGTAATGGGGTTGACAAAGACAGCTTCTCAAGTAAGTGTGTACGCAAGTGCTAGATAAATGAGTTCTTTGTACTGCACACAGTTACCATAGCATTAACTATTTTCTGTCGCACTAGCATTCTTTATAGACTATTCAGTCTTGAGTTGGAAATGTGCATGTCTATAATATTGCTAATTGAGTTCTGGCAAGAGTGGAATTAAAATATATGTACACTAAAATCTATCCTGCAGTTAAGTCACTTTTTGGGGAGAAAGTAGGCATAAACATGCATTTGTGTGTGTTGGTTTTTAGGTTTCATATTTGTGTTTGTAATTCAACTCCTATGTGCTTTCTGAAAAAAGCTGGTGTGCAAGAAAAGCAGAAAGGCTGAGAGGACCTTTGGAAAAGAGTTGAACTTTATGGTCAGGAGAGGATGGTATGCTTTTTGGGTGGGGAATAGATGTAAAGACTGATGAATGATCTTTAAATACAGTGAATATTGAGTATGTGTATAATTTATTCACAGTGAATGTATGTGATCTGTTTGATTACATTTAAATGTCTTTTCAGATATAGTAAAAGGTGAAAAAATGTTGCCTGTTTTTGATGAACCACCAAATCCCACGAATGTGGAGGAGACACTGCAAAGGATTAAAGAGAACGATTCTCGTCTTGTTGAAGTTAATTTAAATAACATTAAGGTAATAGCCTAAAGTCTGCAGTAAATATGCTGCCTTTTCTCAGTAGAAGACACTTCAAGCTGCAGAACTCTATAAGAGAGCATGATAGCCTTATTTTAAGTACAGCAGCCTTTCTGCTAAATGTTGCAGTGTGTGTAATCTCAAAAACCTGGAGCTAAACCGATAAGCCATCTTGGTTTCTTTTGCCAAATGTGCATTTAAAAAGGTCTTAGATTTTCTTACTGCCAGCCCAGACTTCTGTTGCTGCCAAGTTGGTGACAGCTCCAGCAGTTCACCGTCGTGGAGTTAACTACTTCTTTGAATCCTTTGTCCTTGATAAAGCAATGTGCTCTCAGTTACTGCTATTGCAAACAAAGTGATGTTTGTACCTGACATCCGTCTGATTCTTGTACAAAAGAGCTGCCAGCAATTAGCGCAGCTTCTGCTCATAAGTGTAACAGTTGGTTTTTAAATATGACTAAAACTTTTGTGTATTTGTGTGAAAGAAAACAGAACTATAGCACTCTTGACTTACAGTGCAGACAGCAGTGACAGGCTGCTTGCTAGCTGCAGCCTTGCTAGCAGCCTAGGCTATTTGTTGCCATTACTAAAGGAAGAAAATAAAATACATGGTTTGGGAATATTGTACAATAGAGAAACGCTAGCAAAAATAGATGCCCAAAAAGGCAACAGAACAAAATTTCTGATAAAGTAAACAGAAATTTGCTACCCTAATTAATTACCTAAAATTATTCCTTTTAAGCTTGGTTCCTGCTACACTGTAAAAATTATCAAACTATAAATTGGCAAATTCTGGAATTATTCTTAATAGAACACAGAGAGTGAGATGCTAATGGTTTCACCAGTCTAAAGCTCTAAATCTTTTTACATTTGTGAGAGGTTAATTTGATGTTGATAGTTAGCAGAATGTTCAGTTCATGTAAATTTTTCTCAGTAACCGCTCCAAGTTAGTCAAATATTTTTTAACTCTTCTATTCTGGCAATGGCATCAATGTAGTGAAGATGACTTTGCTTTATAGAATTGGTGACTGTAATAGCCATTGTATCTTGCATATAGCTTTGCTACACATGTAGGCCTTTACTGTGAGACTGCTGGAGACCAGTGACAGTCAATATTATAGTACATTTTGCTGTAAAGAGAATAAGATAACGGAAGAAGTTGGGGGGGAGGGGATAAACTTGTGTATCTCAAGAGAGTGAAGTGCTATTTTTAATTCAAGAACATACCAATTCCAACGCTGAAAGAATTTGCAAAAGCCTTAGAAACCAACACGCATGTGAAGAATTTTAGCCTTGCAGCCACCCGAAGCAATGATCCTGTTGCTGTTGTAAGTACTCTTACTGATGTGCTTAAGTGGGGTGCAAGGGAAGTTTGGATGGAAAGACAATGGTAAAGGATTGAGTTGAATCCTGTTTAAATATTTAGGGGTGAAAATTATTAAATTCCATTACACAGTAAAGTATGTTTTCTTTAACAAACCTTTATTGTATCAAAGTTGGTAAATGATTCCTAGTTGACTAATACGCAGCAATGCATCAGATGTATGAGATGAGTGAGAATTCTTTTATTCCAATCCCTTCCCCCTGATTTTTTGTTTTGCTAACCTCCTTCCTGTCTGTCTTTTCTAATTGTTTAGTTCCTGATGTTCATTCCACAAGCCAATAGTATATTCAAAATTAACTTTAAAAGAAGCACATTTGAGGACTGAAAAAGCTCATAATCTTTTTCAACCAACTAGAGTTTTAGTTGAAGAAAGTTGCAAAATACCTGTTTCACTATTCTCCCTGCTACCAAAGACTGGCTTAAAGCATTGGCATATAAAGTATAATATTAGTCAAGGTATCTAGTTTGACACAATTGAAACTTAAGTACTTATCATCTGGTCCTGTTTTTCCTATGTTGAATCAAAAGCAGTACCTTATTTATTTGCAAATAAAGAGGTAAGAAAACAACACTAACTGTTTGGCCAGGACAATCCTTTGCATTTGTTTTAATTTCATATTAGAAGGAAAACTAGTTTGAAATACTCCATTAAATGAACATTTGAAAGCTTTGGTTTGGGTCAGTTAAAAAGTTCCTTTTCGGTAGAACTGAAACATTTGTAATAAAAATCTATAAAGGCTTCTTTTCTCGGGTGTGGTTTTGTTGGGCGGGGTTTTTTTGCATTGTGACTTGAAAGAAAAAAATTTAAACGTTATGATTTTTATGACAGTTAACCTCAGCAGTTAGCTATTCTTGTTTTCTTATTTTCTCAGAAATAAAATCAGGTATATGCCACTTCCGTAAGAGTGCTTTTAGCTACATGCTGGTACTGTGCTTAGGACTTTGAATTTTGCCTCTTCCTACCAAATCTGTAGACACAAGGACTTTGAAAGTCAGATCTCCTGTTTACAAATTAACCACATCTAATTCTCCTTTCAGTTGACTAGTGCCCTTTCTTTGGCCTTTACTTAGCAGCTTGCATTACTCATTGTACGCTGTGAAGGCTTACAAAATGGAATTGGTCCAATATGCTAATTTCAGACAATTTATATTCTGTGTAGCTTTTTAGTTTGTAACAAGAGAAAGACAGGCCTTTTCTTGAATAAATACTATTTAAAAAGGGAATGTAGGAAATGCCTGGTTGAAGACTCGCTTCAGTCTCAAATAATAAGTGAAAACTCACGAAGTTACACCATGCAGCTGTGAACTTGTTGCTCCTATTGAACGAGTTAGTGGAAATGGTTATCGCTGTGTCCAATGATGTACTGTAGCAAAATTCAAAAGTTTAATGATGCTTTCTTGCATTCAAAGGCTCTTGCAGATATGCTGAGAGTAAACACAAAATTGAAAAGTTTAAACATAGAATCAAATTTCATCACTGGAGTTGGAATTTTGGCACTGGTTGATGCACTGAAAGATAATGAAACATTGACAGAGATCAAAATTGATAATCAGGTAAGTGAGGTGGTGGTAATATCATAATTAAAATCAGTCTATCCTAGTTGACTGAATATTTTTAGAAAGCAGCCTGTGATAAACTTTCCAAAATATTTTACTTTTAAATATCTTAACTCAATGAATGATTGTCCTTAAGATTCTTAGAAGCATCCGGTTAAAGTTGATTCCTGGTCACTTCTGTGCTTGCTTGTGCTTTAAAATGCACAAACGTATTTTATGACCTTCTGCCTTTTAGATTAATCAAAATGAAGATAAGTGTTTATTGACTAATATGATGAAAGTCTTCTGATCTCTTTTAGGGTGAACACACATAAGCTCTGTTGTCTTTGTATACCTTTTACTTTAACAGAGGCAGCAGCTGGGCACAGTTGCAGAAGTAGAAATTGCCAAGATGCTTGAAGAAAACACCAAGATCCTCAAATTTGGATACCATTTCACACAACAGGGACCTCGAGCCAGGGCAGCTGCAGCTATCACAAAAAATAATGATTTGGGTAAGACCTGTCAGTGGTGAGCAACTATTAAATGAATATGTGTGTGTGGCACAGCTTTTAAAGGTGTCTGGTTTTTCTGTTGACATAACCAGGTAGCAAAATATAAGTAGATCAGTTTCAGATCTCTCCTGTGCTTTACTCCTACTCTTCCTTGCTGCTGGATGTTCTTCTTTTACTTTGTTGCAGGGTGTTCAGGTGTATGAGTTGAGGATTTTTAGCACAGTCTAGAACAAGAACATTCAAATTCCACGTGAGTTATGGCAAAGGGAGGGGAAATAATAGTTTTGATTGTTCAGTTTTATTCAGGTTAAGATTAATCGTTTCTTTAAAAGCAGTACTTAAAATTTATACTGCGAGATGCCCTTCTCAATGCCAGTGCAGCCAGTCTCATCTGGATTGCTTGAGCAAGGAAGCTGAATGTACTGTCATGTGCAGAGGCTGGGACTGGGTCATCTCTTCCCTTATGGTTCTGTTCATGCACCAGTGCCTTCCCTGCCTCTCTTAACGGTAGCTGGTAGCAGTGGCATCTTTATTTTGCTGCAGTAAGTTTTGTTGGAGCTAATCTGTTAGAATCCTAACTAAATGGACCAGCAGAAAATGGGTTAATAACGTAGCATGTGAATGGAGATTGTATAATAATGTCAAATACTTGGAACTCTCAACTACAAGAAGATAATGTGGTCCATCTATTTAAATAGAATTACATTTTTAAAACTCCATTTAATTAAACTTTATGGCTTTAGGTGCTTTGTGGTAAGGATTACACATCTCATCAGTGCAAAAATGGGCCAGGTAGTTTAGTAGTAGTACAGGAATACATTAGAGGGCATGACATAGGAATTTGGTTTAAAGATCTGCTTCCTCTCTGAGTAAAGTTTAAAGTAGAGGAGAAGAGCTCTGAAACAGATGGAGTAAGAGTAACAGAATAGAGCATAGAGAGAAGGGCAGCACTCAGACAATGCATAACTCTTTCCGAAAAATAGATTTGAAACAAGTTATTTTTTCATCATAACACTTCAGGTGTGTCTGTATTTCCTTTTAAGGTTTCTCTTTTCACTAGTTCTCATTTTAGTATTTGACTGTTGGAAATCTATGTTTCTATTGATATCTTGCCTTTTTTTCTTTGCTTTCTTAGTCTGGAGTATGCGAGTAAAAGTTTCTGCAAATACCTTTTCATCTCTCAAGCCCTGAAGCTACAGAGACAGGTTACTCTGAATACCCAGTTGGGTATTGAGCACTGAAAACTGAGATGTTCAAAGTCTCTCACTTCTGTCTTTGTACGTTTCTTCTAAAACAATAGTCTACATCTTCTTTCTCCCTTGTTTACACTGTGTTGTATGACTTCCCTTTGTCTGAAACTGTGTACATGTTGCTTTTAACTGCATGATTGGAAGAGTCTAAGGTTGGAAACTCTTCCATCTGTTCTTGCAATTTGATGAAAGCAGGTATGCATAACTTCTGTCTTTGAAAATTATTTGGATTGAAATGGAGGTACATCTATGGGTCACTTGCAAAGTGAGCAATACATTGGCTTTGTAAAGAGTAAAATTCTAGTGTGATTTTTATTCTGTTTGTTTCTTTAGACTGTATCTAAAGCATTTCTTGAGACAGGAAGAGGGAGGGGAAACAAAACAGGTTTCTCTCTTATTTTGATTTGAAGATAAAGAAGATCAACTCAAATTGCATATATCTGTAAAACTATAATTTCCAATTAGTGGATTTGAGAACAGAATCACTTTCTTATATAGATGTGCTTGCTCAACTTCTTTAAAGAAAAGGGAGATGCTGTATATAATTTCTAAGACCCTTAGCCTCATTTGTTATGTCTGCACAGAAAACAGTTTGATGGGGAAAAAGAAAATACCAATTAAAAATACTACAAATATTGAGCAAAACTCCAGTCATTCAGTCAATCTTGCATATTCTTAAGTCTAAACAGCATGTGAGCTTTTAGGGATTTTATTCACAAATTTTTGCTGCTCTTGCATTTTCTGACAATTGAATATTTTTCATTAATAAATGGAATGTTTTAGGCTATTGAATGTAACATCTTTTTTTATAAAGTGTATAAATCATATTAGATGTACAGTGAAACTCTTGACCTGTTTCTTTTGAAGCCATGTAAACTTAATTCTCTACCACTAAAAAACTGCAATGTCAAAAAAGTGTTGGCTAAATTTGCTTACCAAACAAAATGATTAATGTTTCCCCCGAGTCTCTCCTCACAAATATTTGAAGCTCTTAATGAATAATGCAATAAGCACTGCTAAAGCATAAGCTTAAAATGATGGATAATATTAAGTGTTAATTACCTTAAGTTGTACTATGTGAAACTTTGTGGCCAGGTAACTGTTGATGCTGTAGAAATATGAAAAGTAGTTACAATGATAACATAGTAAAATGCCTTTTTTTCCCCCCTCTCTTGTTACAGTTCGCAAGAGAAGGGTTGAAGGAGACAACTAGCAAATCTTATTGTCAAAACTATGTGGAGATTTCAAGGGTTGTCAAGGCACGCTCATCATCGTGGGCTTTGGCAATCTTGGACTACATTTACCTGGGTTAGAAGGGAAAAGACTGGAAACCCCATTCCTTTTAAAGCAAAGCTATATTAATAATCTTTTGGTATGCATCACGTTTTTCAGATTGAGACACAGTAACTGTACCAGTCTCTGTACCATAGTTTTTGATTGTTTTTTTTTTTAAGAACTTTTTTGTATTCAAGACTTTGGCTGTACTTTCTACTAAAAATGTAATTGCAAATCAATGGTATAATTGTCTGTAGGTAAAGAATGGGACATTCAAGATCATTGGGCAGATAATGACGCAATTGAAATGTTTGTTACAAAATCTGGGGGTGCTTATTTACATGGAGGGGTGTGTATATTCTTGAAAACAATGTATTAGTGAAAAGGGATTCTTCACACAACAGTTGGACTCATTGTGTAGAGCTGTTCAGCCTTGTTCATATGCACTGAAGAGAAATCTTTCACAGCTATCTTATTTGTAAGTCTACTTTTTTTTATTTTTTTAGTAGTTCTTGATACTGTGATTAAGTTTAAAGACATCCCTTTAAACCAAACAAAAATAAATTGGCTAAGGACTTCTCCCAAGAGATTTGAGGGACTAATAAAGAAGTGGAAGCATTGGGGGGGGGGGGGGGGGGGGGGGGGGGGGGGGGGGGGGGAATAGGAGCCTTGCAAAATGAGTTGTTCTATTACACCTAAACTCTTAAAGTCTTTTTCAAAAGGTTCCATAACTATATCTTGCTCTGTATCTAAACTGGATATGTTTTTAGACTGATTTCATGTGTTCATCACCATTATTTAGTTTATATTCTTTGCTTAAAAATCCTTATCTACATTCATAAGTATCAATTTTGCTAGAAGTAGTGGACATGCATTTTAAATTCTGCATAATTCTGTACAGGAGAAGCAGCCTTAACTGTAAAACCACTGTCCTAAGTTGCTGGCAAATGGAAAAATCCTTTTTTAGAAGCTGTTGCACTAAGCTATTAGTACTTAATGTAAATCTATCATTTTTTTAATAAAGCAATGAATTAACACTTTTAAGAAAGGATTTTTGTATTCTACTTATGTCTTGATGTTGAAACACTACATAAGACGTGCAGAAATTAACCAGTACGCAGTGTCAAATCTGTATGGTGTAGTAATAATTAAAGTATTTAAAGTTCTATATCTAAGCAAACTAATAAGACATCAAGAATCACTTCAACTTCTGTACATAATCACAGTAGACTTCTCTGAAATAATATGAAAATCTGGAGGCTTTTAGGTGTAGGTCTGTTTGGACTGTACTGTACTAGTTTGCTCAATGTTGTCATGAGATCATAAACTCACAAAAATGTTCTAAAGGACTGCTCAGCTATATTTATAGCAACAGAGAATTCAAGTGACAGCTCTTTTCATCAAAGGATCATAATATGGTGAGCATTTTATGTATAGAAAACATATTGGACTGAGATTTTTGCATCCCGTTGTATATACTAGAAAAATTTAACAGAGCAACTCCCTGACACTGTGCCCATGTTGTAATCTGCTGCAAATCTTGTTTTGGAGCTTTAAAGACAGACTTTTATTATGGAGGTGACTTCAAATTTTACTGCAACTGTACAGAGAATTTTAAACTCTAGTGCCTTCAATGAGGATGTATATAACTGGTTCATACTTGTGGAAGAACATTTTTTTTCCCCATTTCAAAATTGGCCTTTTCTTATAATTACAAATAAATGTGTGCTCTGAAAAGCAAGTTGGAATTAATTGTTAAAACTGAAGACTATACATACTCTAACTTTCAAACAACTAGAAGTGAACTGACTAGTAACAAAAAGGGCTTCTTTGGTTTTGGCTTTTGTAAATTTCCAAGAACTTTTAAGATTTTGAAATTTAAGTTCTTGTATGCATAAATTCACAAGTGTCTTTTTACAGACGGTGCTGTATAAACATGGCCAAAGCATGTCATGTGCTGAGTTGCCTAAAGCTATACTTTTTATTTGCTAGGCACCATAATAATTTTGTGTCAAAAAAACAGGCTGTAATGTCTTCCTTCATTTGTTGAAGGGCTGCATGTTCATGGAATCTGTTCGTGTATTGATTCTATGATGATTCATTTTATCATTCTCTAACAAGATTAGGCAATTATCTCCTACTTGAAGATGAAGCAGAAAAATGAAAGGCCGGATTATGGAAATGATAGCCCCCTATCCTTTCCTTTACTAAATCAAGTTTAGCTGCTTAATGATTTATATTCCAATCAAAGGCAGGGGCTTTAAAGCTGCAACTCTCAGGTGTCCTGTCACAGATGATAGTAGTGGACCTTAATAATTGGTTTAGCTCAACAGCTAAGTATTTGACTGCTTGTTGGCACTTTCAGGACAGGTATCTGACAGGCTGGGCATAGAAAACTAGTTGGTTTGGGTTTGTTTTTTTGGTTTTGTTTTTTCAGCCAGAAGGGTTTGGCCCTCCAAGTGTTGCAAGACATTTGGCGCTGTGCATGGAACGGTATCGAAAACCACTTTTATGTCTACAGTGTGTATCCTTTTTGGAATAAATGAAGGAATTTAGTCTGTAGCTGGGAATCGTAAACAGTCTCAACAAGCAAAGTGAATACTCTGATGTAATGCTATCACGTGGAGTGAGATCTAGTGTATGACTTTATTGAGTGCAAAAGTGGTATTGCTTTGATAACGGGCTACCATAAAAGTAGGGTCTTTTTTTCCAAAAGAGGCGATACTTTTTTCTTCTTATTTTTCAGGCTTAACGCAGAAGTCAAATGACCATGTCCGTTGACTCTGTTGGTTCCAAGCTAAGCATGGAAACTAGTTTATATTCCAAAGCAGTTATCTATTTACTTTTGTATTTTAAAGAAATAGCCTCATTTCCTCTACAGGTCGAGCAATACTGTTTGTAAGCTACAAACGAGCAAGTGTTCAATTTAAATTTCCGTTGAGGAAACGCGAGTTGAGTGTTTTAGCATATCAGCACTATATGCTGTCAGATTGTAAACCAGTAAAAGTTTTGGATGATTAAAGTACTGTATCCTTGTTGCGGTCTGGGGGCTTTGTTTGTTTTCACTAGTACACCCACTTGCTTAAAGCTGACCCCTGCGTTTACGTCCAGCCGTGGCTTTTCCTTCTCCGTGAGGAAAGCGAGCGCCCCAGCGGCCCTTCGGGGAGTGAAGGGCTACTGC